ATCACTCCTAAGACAGGGTGAAGTCTCCCATGAGGGATCATCAGAGTCTGACACATCATTTGGGGCCCTCCCCCCTGTATCTAGGATGAGCAATGTGTCCCTCCATGGAGAATAGGTTCCAAAAGCCCCTTCATGCATAGGGATAAATACTGGTTCCACTACTGGAGGCCCCAGAGGCTGCACAGGTCTCCTAACTGACATCCATGTTCAGGGGGCCTGGTTTGGTCCTATGCTGGTTCCCCAGCTGTCAGACTGGGGTCTGTGAGCTCCTACTTTCTCAAGTCAGCTGTTTCTGTGGGTTTCCCTAGCATTGTTTTGACCCCTTTACTTGTCACTCCTCCCTCTCTGCAACTGGATTCCAGGAGTTCAGTTCAGTATTTAGCTGTGGGTATCTGCCTCTGCTTCCATCAGCTACTGGATGAAGGCTCTAGGATAGCATATAAGGTAGTCATCAATCTCATTATAGGGGAAGGGCATTTAAGTTAACGTCTCCACTATTGCTTAGATTCTTAGTTGGGGTCATCCTTGTGGATCCCTGGACATTTCCCTAGACCCAGATTTTTCTTTAAGTCTACAATGGCTGCCTCTATTAAAGTATCTATTTTCTTGCTCTCCTCTATTTTTCCCCTCGACTCAATCTTCCTGGTCCCTCATGTTCTCCTCCCCCAACCCCTGCTCCCCTCCTCTTTCTCCGACCTCCCTCCCACTCCCCCATGCTCCCAATTTGCTCAGGAGATCTCAGAATATCCATTTTCTACAGAAAGTACACTTTTGTGTGTGAGGCATGAAAAAAATTACTCCCGAGCTCTGTAGCTGTCAGGGAAATGAATGACTCTTCTGTTTTGAAATAGCACTCAGCAAATAGAGGACTGGATGTAATTTTCCTCCTGTCAGGCTCCGGTTTGTGAGGCTGGTGTGTCACAGGCAGCTGGAGTAGTCTCCCTTCAGGATCTAGTGCAGGCTGTGGTTTTCTGTACCCGAGGCTCCAAGGCTCCTGACTGCAAGGGTTCTGAGTGCACAGTGCTTCATGTAAAGAATTCAAATGTGCTTCTCTGCAGTCAGTTTCATTTCATGTGAGTCAGCCATTTTAAAGCAAACTGTGGCATTCGGGGCATTCACAGTGCTGTCTCCATGAAGAACTCTGTGGTAGCCACGATGCCCTTGCGTATCAGTCTTCCTCCTGTATCTCTATTTACCTATTTTGGATATAAATGGAATCACACAATATGTGACTCTTTGTGTCTGGTTTTCATATAGGATAGTTTCAAGTTTGTCTACATGATAGCAGGTGTCTGTTGTAGAGTGTTATTTTAAGGTGTGGGACTTTTGTTTATGCTGCATTTGTTAAACTCTGTGAAGCTGTGATTCTTTGCCTGTCTAAAACACTTGATGGTCCTAATAAAGAGCTGAACAGCCAATAACGAGGCAGGAGCAAGGATACGCGGGGCTGGCAGGCAGAGAGAACAAATAGAAGGAGAAACGAGGGTGAGAAGGAGGAATGAAAGAACGAGGAGAGGAAGATGTCCGGGGTCAGCCACCCAGCCAGCCATGGAGTAAGAAGGAGGAAAGATAAAAGCCCAGAGGGAAAAGGTAGACGGGTTAATTTAAGATAAGAAAAGCTGGCTAGAAACAAGCCAAGCTAAGGTCAGGCACTCATAACTAAGAATAAACCACTGTGTGTGGTTTATTTGGGAGCTGGGTGGTGGGCTCCCCAAGAAAGACCAAAGAGCAAAAACATCACACAACAGGTATCAATCAGCATTCTATTTTTTTACTGAATACTATTATATTGCATATTTCACCCACACCTTGCTTACCCATCCAGCCACTGACAAGCACTTGGATTGTTTCCACATTTTTAGCTGTTGTGAATGGTGTCAGTATGAATACTTGTGCAGTAGTATTTATTTGAATACCTGCTTTTTTGTTAAGGTAGAGTGGAGTTGCTTGATTACGTGGGAATTTTATGTTTGACCTTTTCAGTAACTGTCAAGCTAGAAAAGGGGTAGCCCTAGCATTAACGGAAGGAACTTATCTTAGCAAAGGGCAGAGACCTCTCTCAAGAGTCAAAAGTCACACAGTTGCTAATAGAAAAATCTTTCATCCCACAGACTTCTGCTCCGGGACAGACAGTCTCAACAACACACGGTAGCAACGGTGTCCACGAAATAGCAGTTCTAAATAGAAGTCCACTTAGTTTGTCTTGTTTCTTTCTTTTTCTCTTTCCATGTCTTCCTACTCTCCCTCCTCCCTCCTTCTTTTTCTTAGTCCTTTGAGACAGAGTCTCGTGTAGCCCAAGCTGGTCTTTAGCAGTGTAGCCAGGATGACTTTGAACCCCTGATCCTCCTGCCTCCATCACCTGTGCATGTGCACGACATGTGTGCCCGATGGCCGTGGAGGCCAGGAGCGGGTGTCAGGTCCCCTGGAACTGGAGTTACAGACAGCTGGGAGCTGCCATGTGGGTGCTGAGAACCGAACCTCGATCTCCTGTTGTAAGAGCAACAAGTGCTCTTAACCACCAAGTCGTAGCTCCAGCCCTGGTTGTTTCTTTTAGATGTTTGTTCAGTAGCACAGAGTTACTGCCTTTGGCCACAGTGCTGTAGAATTGGCCTCAAACCCAGTTAAGGTAATCCCTTTAAGTGAAGTAGCCAACTCTGCTGAGCTTTCTTCTGGGAAGACCTGAAGAGAAGTCTAAGGTGCCAGAAGTCAGGCTTATACCCAGCCTCATATCGGCCTGTTATCCTAAGGATCTACGTGTTGAATATTTGACTAACTGTGGTAGCTTGAATGTAATTGGCCCCATAATTTCATAGGGAGTGGCACTGTTAGGAGGTATGGCCTTGCTGGAGTGGGCGTGATCTTGTTGGAGGAAGGGTGTCACTGTGGAGGAAGTGTGTCACTATGGAGGTGGACTTTAAGGTCTCATATATTTTCAAGATACTACCTGATGTTTGAGACCACTTCCTGTTGCCTGCAAGATGTGGGACTCTCAACTCCTTCTCCATCACCATGTCTGCCCGCATGCTGCCATGTCCTGACATGATATTAGTGCACTAAACCTCTGAAACTGTAAGCTGCCACCCCAATTAAGTGGTTTTCCTTTGTAAGAGTCGCTATGGTCATAGTGTCTCTTCACAGCAATAGAAACCCTAACTAAGACATTAACTACCAAATTCACAATTCAATTGCCATGTAGGAAAACATCTGTCTGCTTTCCCAGAAACTATTACTCTATTCCTGAGCAAATTGTGTAAAGACTGTTCTAATTCAGCTGTCATAGTAGCTGTCTTTCAAAAACTTGTGATTAATGTTCGACTTTCTTGCTGTTTTCATTGGCCTTGTCGCTTAGGGCATTATTCTTGACTCGTATGGGGCCTGAGTGATACACAACTAACACCCATTATAGAGTGCCTATAAAAGGCTGTAGGAACAAATACTATGTCCTATAATTATCTTCGTGATCAAGTCATGCTGGCTGGCTGTTGTATGTCCTGGAATTACAACCATAGCTGAGTTAGAAGCAAGTGAATCAGAGTCTAGATCCTTTCCCTTTCCTGGAGGCTTTGTCCAGGGTAGTGTATTTAAGATGATGTGTCCAAATAGCACACCCAGAAAATAAGCTCACCATCATAAATCTTGTCGTGCTGTAACTCAGGATTACAAAGCTATTGCAGTCCAAGTGGCGTGGTTGCCACAGAGCAAGTCCTCAGGGAACCCTAGATAGCCCAGTCCAAGGAGTCACCCCTTGGCTGCTAACACACTGTGTCTAGAATAGTTCAGCCCTGATCTCTGACATTATGTTTCCCGAGTCACATGCTCTGGGAAAAGATGACATCGGATTTAATTGGAAAGTTCAAAGGGGGACAGGGAGGAGGGTCAGAATGAGGCTCAGTAGATGCAATCTTTGATTAGATGGTGCAAGGTTTAGGCAGAACTAACTTTGTGAGGTCTTATTTTCTTCCCGTTGGAAACAGTTCAGGGATCGTGAATTCTGGCCAAGAGAGTATTACCTCTGCAAAAATACAAAGTGTCTGAAGTAGAATCTGTTTTGAAAACTCAGTTGTACATCATTGATTGTAACACATAGTAGAAAGCCGAACACTGCAGGCTTCAAACATACGCATAATAATTTATATTCAGACTAGGTCTTAGGTGTGTGTGTGTGTATGTGTGTGTGTGTGCGCGTTGTGATGTATGCTCACATGTGTGCAGGCATGCATACCTGTGTGCAGAAGCCAGAGAAGGATGTCAGGTGTTCTACTCTCCACTGTCTTCCCTTGAGACATGGTCTTTCCTTGAACCTGGAGCCTTACTGTTGACCTACAAACTCTAAAGATCATCCTGGCTCTATTCTTCATAGCCGTGGAGGAGTCACAGTTGCACACTGGCATGCCTAGATTCTCATTCTCTCTCTCTCTCTCTCTCTCTCTCTCTCTCTCTCTCTCTCTCTCTCTCTCTCTCATACTGGTGATTTAGATTCAGGTCCTCGTGCTTGAGAAATAGTTCTCTTACCCACTGAACCCTCTTATGTCCCTAGACCTATGACTTCAACTCCCAGGCTATAACTTTAAGATAGGAGGCTAGTCTGACCCCTAAATTTTAATTAACACTTCCCAAGGACAGGAGAATTTATTCTTTGTATGAGAGCCAGCATTTATTGCTCAGTAATTTATCTCCTTGAGCTGTTGCAAAACATTTACAGGAATGCATCTGGTACAAATTAATAACTTGCAGCAATATTTTTGGATGATGCCTGGACTTACTGCTCACATAAACCAAACCAAGGTTCCACATCACGTTAGAAACGTCAGATGATGTTCTTTTCTTGGGCACATGGGGCTCTTCTCTTGTCAATGTAGAGGGCAAGTTCTTGGTAAATCTTTGTGGCTCATATGACTAATAAGAGTTGATTTGGCTCCTTATTAAGATTCCAAAACAGCAACCTTGATATCACATCAACTCAGTGATGTACCCATGAATTATTCTTGTCTCTACTACAGGGGAAATGACTGGCCAGGGGTCTAACTGAAACCAAACATCTACAGATTGCCACTGAATCATGCCTTCTGACCCTACCAGCAGTTCCAAGGAATTTTGTGGAAGGAAGGCCTGTTTTTTTGAGTGTCATTCTCAAAAGATCAGCAATGTGTTTTAGATTCTAATGATAAATTCCTTCTAATTTGCCAGACACATTTTATATAACCCATTGGAACTGATTTCTGTAATGCCCAGCTTTTCAGTTTTTGTCAATGCAAAAAAATCCTTCAGTTTATATAATAAACATCACTGTTGTGGAACATTACTTTAATGTGTGTTACATTTGTTTATGCTGTGGAACATTTGTTTAATGATGTAAAGATGTATTGCATTCTTTTATGTTGTATTTGTTTAATTCTGTGAAGCTGTGTAATTTTGCCTGTCACCTGGTTGGTCTCATAAAGAGCTAAACAGCCTGTAACTAGGCAGGAGAGAGGGATAGACAGGCCTGCCAGGCAGAGAGAATAAATAGGAGAAGAAATCTAGGAAGAGAAGGAGAGTCGAGAGAAGAGGAGGAGGACGTCAGGGGCCAGCCACCCAGTCACACAGTCAGCCACAGAGTAAGAAGGAAAGAAAGGAATATAGAATAAAGAAAGGCAAAAAGCCCAGAGACAAAAGATAGATGGGATAATTAGGTAAGAAAAGCTGCCAGAAACAAGCAAAGCTAAGTCCAGGCATTTAGAAGTAAGAATAAGTCTCCATGTATTTATTTAGGAGCTGGCACCTAAAGAGTTTAGACAAAAAAAATTACAACATCTCTGCTATTAGCCCTTTCTCAAGTGAAAATTATCTCTCTCAGCATGCTGCCAACTATGTCTGAAGCATTACTGGAATGATCTCACTTCAAATCAGAGCTCTCTCATGAATCCCTTCCCTTTTTCACAGCCTTTAACATTTAGGGAATTCATTCCACTGAAGACTCATTTCTCTGCACTGATGCTCACTGCAATATTACCGTCACTTCATTTTAGGATAATGTACATTTTTTCCTGTGGTTCAGAGAGAGAGTCCTGACAATTCATATGCTTTTGGGTGGAGCTAGAATGCAAACACAAAGTTGGTGGTGGTGCACACCTGTAATCCCAGCACTCAGGATGCAGAGGCAGGTGGATCTCTGAGTTCGAGGCCGGCCTGGTCTACAGGAGCTAGTTCCAGGACGGCCAGGTCTACACAGAGAAACCCTTTTGTCTCCAAAAACCAAAAAGGAGGAGGAGGGAGGGAAGAAGAAGAGAAAAGGAAAGAAGGAAGGAAGGAAGGAAGGAAGGAAGGAAGGAAGGAAGGAAGAAAAGAATGCAGACACAATTCCTTTTGGACCTATGGGTTCTTTATCTGGAGTTCCGTATCAAAATATGCTTGTTTCCTTCTCTGGACTGCTGTTTTCTCTGCTACTATTGCTGACAAAAGCAGAAGGCTGGGCAGCTCAGCCCCAGTCTGAGCCTCCTTCAGACTTCCTTATACTTCAAAATACAGCACTAAAAGGGCCCTTAAGCCAAAGGGAGACAAAAATCCCCACCCCCGTGGGTCATATTTTCAGTTTATTCTCCAAGTGCAGACTGCAACGGAAATGTCCACTGTTTAAATAGAAAAAGCCTGCTTCCCCTCAGTCGTTTAGCCCAATAGGTTCCTCTAGTCCTCCAAATACAACTTCAAAATGGTCTGAAATTGGCCTACTCCAAGAGCTAGTGTTACTCTCTTTTGTCCATGGTATCTTTTTGCATTTGTTTTCTGCCTTCACCATTCTAGTTTCAGGGGGTCTCTATGTCTGTTAGTACCTCAGGGTTCAGTATCCATCTGCAAAGAGTCACAATACTCCATATGCGTAGTTGAGAGGAGTTGACAATTCCTTGTTTATAAACCATGGGTACTGCCTACAGAAATTAGGAAGAGTTCGTGCAGGATCTGGGTTTAGCAGCAATGAGAAGTGGCTGCTAGCCCATAAATTTGTCATGGGTATGGGAGGTTTTTACCATACCCATGAGAAACTGCGTGAAGAACGTTTCTGACAAGACTGTTGACCTTTGGAAGATGAGCTCACCCAATACCCAGCACTGTAGCAGCAAGAGATCTGGAGAATAAATACTCAGGGCTCCCTCAGCTCTACTCCCACAGCATCCCTCACCTCCACCCACTCGGTGAACCAATACTAAGGTAGAAAGCAGGGGTGTCCATGCCGAGCCTAGGCAGCTCAGGATGACCAGAGTGGGGGAGGATGATAGGTCAGCCTGGAGGGACAAAAGGTGCCTAACAAAGCTATTGCGAAATCCTCCAGTTTTAGTTTTCTTCTGACTTTCATAAAAGGGTTCGAGTCGTCTTTCCTCTTGGTTTTAGCTTTAAACATGCATCTGCCCCCCAGGCCATTGGTATCTCCAAACTCTGGAGCCCCGGCAACTTTTGATACTCTGTAGTCAGCAGCAGCCCTTTCTCTTCAAAACATTTCTGCACTTCTCTGCTCCTTCTGAATTTCTCTCGGGAATGGGAATGGAGCATTTTATCCTAGAACCATACACCCTAGGGTAACAATGGAAATGTGCTAATTCAATCATTTAAGAGCAACATAATCAAAATGAAGTTTAGGGAAGTGACACTTACAGTAGAGTTAAAATCTGAAGCAATTTTAATTTAGGTCATTAGGAATTAGCAGGACCATGATTTAAAGTAAGCAAAGGGGAGGGCGGGTCCCTGTGGTTTCCATGTGCTTTCTCTGGCTTCTGAGTACTCCTGCTGATTGGGAATGTTTTTGCACAGCACAAACAGCACCCATGACTAGGTACAAAATGTCCATGAATCTAACACCCAAATAAAATTCTAAATGTGACTCCAGCAAAGCTCTGAAAAGGGTGGGGGAGGGGGAGGATAGAGGAGGGAAAGACAACTTCCACTTGGTCTGCAAATGGATAGTGGTTAACTTTGACAAAAACATAGGCTGAAATATGTAAGGGCAAGCATTAGCACTCTAAAGACGGGCATCAGATTTAATTTTCTACAGGGTTGGGGATCAAATGTAGGTCTCAAGGCTTAGACAAGCACCTTTACTGAGCCCAGCTCCCTGTGTCTTTGCAATATTTCTTGCAGTGTTTGATTGTTTACTTGCTTGCTTTGATGACTCAAGTCTTTTAAAAGTACATAGAGGAATAAAGCAATTTTTAAAAAATAGCAGTATGTAGTAAAAACCAGGAGATGAACAGGGTGTGGCAAGCACATTCCTTTTACCTCAGCACTCAGGAGGCAGAGGCGGCAGGAGTGAAGTCCAGGGCCCGCCCGGATTACATAGCAAGACCATGGCAAAGAGAAAGGAAGCTTGGTCAGGAAAAAAACATATACTCCAAGGAAACAAGACCCTTCATTTGGTCTTTGATTTTTCATTCAGCCACTTTGCCTGTGATGTTGTCTGGCATCTGACTCTCCAGTTTCCAAACGCCCCTCCAGTTCCCTCCACGTATGTTAGCATGCTGGTTCTAGATATCCCACACCAGGCTTATCTAAAGTAACATCACACCCCTGCTTAGAAGCCTTTGGAGGTTTCCGTGTGTGTGTGTGTGTGTGTGTGTGTGTGTGTGTGTGTGTGTGTGTGTTTACTATGTACCCTTTCCCCCTGGTTTTTGAAAGCTACTACTATATAATGCCCCCTGTAGGTGATTTTGCCAACCCTGAGATGCGTATTTTTATATAAAAAGACATTTAAAACATTTCTGCAATCGAATGCATCTGACAATAAATTCATGGCATCTTAGGTTCAGTGAATCTTAGTTCACTGTGGCTACAGAATCCAATCCCTCTATTATGGAAACAGAATTTTTTCTGCTACCCAAAGACCCTTTCTTTCACAACTCTAAACTTTTTTCCATCCGTCCATCCGACCGTCCATGCCATTTCCCCTGCCTCGGTCTGTGGAAATCCAGCCCATCTTTAAGGGTCAGCTCAGAGGGCCTGCTGCAGACAGTTTTGCTTTCCCTCTCAGCTGAGCAGCAGGCCTCTGAGGGCTCTGGCAGAGGGTAGTTTATACTTCCTTTTAGTTTAAATACTTGGGTACGTGTTCGTCTGCCCTCTTTAGAGTCCTGAAAATTGCTTGAGGATGCAACTGGCACTGTGAGAGTCTATGAAAAAACGTGTTTGTTTCTCAACACAAACTGAAGACATTTTGAACAGGTTCTTTGTTTGCTGGCTGGCTTGCTTTTAAATCTAAACACTTTTTCTGAGTTCAGGAAGAATCCTGCTCAGGGCTGCCCCCTGGAGGTAGCTAGCGTCTCGGCAATGAGGCAAAGGAAGGCAGTGGGCTGGGTAGAGGCCCGCAGATGGTCCTTTGGGAATGAGGGTGGGGCTGCACATGGAGGCTTTCCTGGGCCCTGGGAGCAGCCTGGGAAAAGTCTAGAGAAGCGTGTTGTTTAGACGGTCAGCCCTCTCCAGTAGACATGAATCACTGTGAGGTCTTGGTGGGACCAAAAGAACGAATGGCTCCCGCAGGCTCTCCAGACGGAGCTGGAAGTCTAAAACAGGCCCCACAGGCGCTTAAATGGAGGTACCAAATGGGGCGCTGCCCTTTTGGTGGGCGTAGCCTGGAAAAAGAGGACCACACATGCACAACATTGCCTGTAGCAGACCCTTCTTCATCACAGGGAATGTGGAACACCCTCCAAAGTCACACACACATAAATCTTTCCTGCAGCAGTGTGCGTCAGCACCCCTCCCCACTTTTCCTTTCTTAGAAAAGCTGTGTGCCCACAGAAAATAAAAATCTGTTCAAGTATGACAGACTCTGGATATCCCCAGGGGATTGGGTTGGGAGGCTGGGGGTTGGGGGGCGGGGGGGGGGACGGGAGGGACAGGGAGCTGGGATTGACAGGTGAAGCAAGCTTGTTGCTAATTTAAATAAAATAAATAAATAATAAAATAAATTTTTAAAAATCTGTTCACGTGTCCTCTTGCTGTTGCCAAGGCATCCTGGGACTAAATTTTAAATGATTTGTAAATTTGTTGCAGAGTCACTGAGGACATTTCCTGTAAGGGCTACCCAGTTGCTAAACTTTACTTTCCATGCATGATGTCTCCATCCTCGGTCTCTGCCAACACTCTGAGGGGTTAGGTTGGAGGTTCCTGCCTGGGCCAGCACTCTAATGCCTGTCTGGTACTCACAGACTGTAACTCCTAGCCTCTGTGTCCATGCGCTAATGAGTTTGAAGCTCATTTTCTTCCGAGGTAAAATGGTCCTCATCATGTGATCTGGACATGTCATTTGAAAACTTTTTTACAGTGCGATCTTCTCTTCAC